TTGAATCTGGCTTTGAAATCAGGTTTCAGAGAGGTACACGTAGGGTTTGCACTGCATTTGTTGCAACCCTTGCTCTGAATGTTTTATTCTGGGGGGACGCAGCTGTCCTGAAGGCAGAGTGGTTGATCTCATTAACAGAAGGAAGCTCTTCTTGGGATCATTAGCAGAAAGGCGGTGCTGGCTGCTCAGACCTCTGCTGGCATCTACTGGATGTGCAAGCCAACACCAGTGCTGAAAGGGAAGCGAGGGTGGTGGATCTCATCCACATGAACTGTTCTGGTCATTATTATCAGCTATTACAGTCCATCGTCTATCACTTATAGAGTGCTAATTGTTTGTGGTTTGTGAGTTATGCACAAAGCATTTGCTTTGAACCAAGACTTCATCTGCAGATTAGGAAAAGAGTGGAAAATGAACTAATCTGGTGATGAAATCAACAACAAAACTGTCACTGACTTCAGTTGTAACAATACCTTTCGAAGTGCTTTTCATTCATCAAGACTTAATGTTTCCCTTCGAAGATAGATCAGTGGCATTCATATCATTGCCAAATAGTGTCGCACTCTTCAACTGAGGGTAAGGAGGCTGGAAAGTCGACAAGCGACTAAAGAGCCCAAGGACTAAGTTTTAGATTTGGCTTTGACTAACATTGTCACTGGTATCCAGGGCTGGACTGGTCTTCCAAATCACGTGAACTGCTCTCCTTCTTACACCCAACACCCTGCACTGAATCACTCATGATTTTTTAATTGGGCTGCTAAAGGGTGTTCCAACATCCCTCACAGCGCCCTTGTGCAAATGAGATTGCAGCTCACCTCCCATCCAGGCTCGTCTTACGGGAGGAAGAAGGAAAGGAGTATTACAGAGCTATGGCTGGAGGGTCAGAGCCTCCAAACTACTTTTGCAGTGTCTAAAACCTCGGTGTCTTGTTGATTTCTGAGTTCTTCAGCCCAAAGAAAGGGGATCTCTAAGTGGGGTGACACCAGCACGGCAGCATGTAAGAGGTGTGCAGCTGATGTCCCCACAGAGGCTTGGCCAGGAGCCACCTCCTGCAATGTTTTCTTACCCAGGAACAAGCAGCTACGACCATGGGCAGAGTTTTCAGAGCTAGGGTAAAACGGTGAGGTAAACCTCAGGTCTCCTTCTCCTGGATGAACACATGGAGCTATCGTCAGGTACAAGGACAGACCAACGCGCTGGCTTGTGTGCTAGCACAGCCAAGGCCTTCTCGCCCACCCTGCGCTGTTGGTGAGAGGCAGCAACCTTCAGCACAGCTGGAAAAGAGCAGCATTTCAAGTGCCGTTACGGCAGGCAGCCTGCAGCCTTTGGCGTGTGTTTGTGGGTGTCTCTCTCTGCTGTTTGTGGTTTATCTAAGACACTTCACCCTTTGGTTGTATTTTTTAAAACACATTTCTAAAAATGTGGCTGTAGAGACCCATGTACGTGACTCGCTCAACAGTGCTGTGATACAAGGAGTGGCTGAGGGAGCTGGGGTGGTTTAGCCCGGAGAATGGGAGGCTGAGGAGAGACCTTATCACTCTCCAGAACCACCTGAAAGGAGGTTGTGGCGAGGTGGGGGGCAATCTCTTTCCAAGTAACGAGTGAGAGTGATAGGATGAGAGGAAATGGCCTCAAATTGCACCAGGGTAGGTTTAGATTAGATATTAGGAAAAATGTCTTCATCGAAAAGGCTATTAAGCATTGGAGCAGGCTGCCCAGGGTAGCGGTTGAGTCACCATCCCTGGAGGTATTTAAAAGTCATGCAGACTGGGCACTCAGGGACATGGTTTAGTGGTGGAGTTGGCAGTGTTAGGTTTGTGGTTGGACTTGGTGATCTTAAAGGTCTTTTCCAACCTAAATGATTCTCCAATTATGAGTACAGGACAGGCACAGCTTTAAAACACAGGTTGGCTCTCTGCTGGCGCTGCAGCACATCAAAAAGGATCTGGTCAAGAATCTCCCCTTGCTACAGCCCAAGTTGGTGTTTAACAGAAATGTGCTAACTTGTGACAGCTCAAAGACTGCAGCCAGCTGCCCTCGTTCAGCTCTCCGCATACAAAACTGACGCAGAGGGACTGGCCAGTGCTTGTTAAATATATGCTGGAATCTGTGTTGTTCCAGCTTCACTCCCACCTTCCTAGAAAGCCATGTCAGTTCACTCCTGGCGCAGCTCCCGTGATGCTCATGGCTGACCTCACCCCTAGTGTCCCCAGTTCTGCCCTTGCTAGAAGAAACGGCCACAAAGACGCTTACCTGGCCTGCGATACACTGGTCGGAGCATCAAATCAGTACAAAACTAAACCAGCACGCAAACAGGGGCATCAATGGTTTTCTGTTGATTTCAGTGCCTGGGCTGGTTAGCGAGAGCCAGTTGGGCTGGTGGGGACAGAGGGGACTGGGAAGGTGGCCAGGGCTGAGCACCGAAGGGAGCAGGACCACCCTTTTCAGGGGCTTTTAGCCAAACGCAGCCACAGCACTGAAGGGCACGCCATGAGTCAGGCACAGCAGCGCTGGACCTTCACCTTCCTCATTTTCTTCACCCAATAACTATCCCTTAGTTCACCTACTCTGACCAGGTTTGTTCCAATTGGCAGACAAAGCTCTTTCTGCATGCAAAAAGCACAAAAAAAAAAAACACCCTTGTAAATCTGTGCGGTGCTAAAGGCAATGATCACTTCTGCTCAAAGCACAGGCTCTGCTTCAGAGCTGCAGAGGGGCCAGGCTACAGACAGGGACAGCCTTTCTCCGACAGCAGGGACTTCGGGCCGCAGTAAGGATGTGTGCCAAACACGCTTGCTGTTCCGCGGGCAGGGGAGCGGAGTTCGGGTGCTGCAATACACAAACTACATGAACTACTCTGCCCGCTGTCTGCACTACACATGGCGGATGAGTACTGAGCTTGGACAGTTCTCCCTGCTTCTGTCCTCCCCATGGCATTACAGAGCACAGCAACTCACTCCAAGGACCATGGCTACAACCCACAGAGTAACATCCCTTCTGGGAAGGCAGAACCCCACGGGTTTTCTTTGCTGTCTATCTCCTGGATGGCAGCTGAATTTTTCTATAGGTATATAAAAGTCAATGACTACTGGGACTCGGGCAAAAGCTCCTGAAGCTGTTTCAAACCCCAGAGCGCTCTGTATAGCAAATTAGCCCGCACCAAGTTCCTTGTTACTACCTGCCAGCTACCTAGGTGAGAGTTGAACCTAATCTCAACATTCACAACTACCTCTTTCGCTTTACAGGAACCATTCCTTGCTGCGGAAGGGCAGGTATGCAAGAAATTCCTGTCCTACCCTTTTAACAAGCCATTAGTGTTCACTTGCTGTCAAGCAGCTTCTGTGAAAAGCTGTGGGTTTTCTGCACAGATTCTCTGTGAAACAGTATGAATACGCTACTCAACTTGCAAAATCCAGGACGTGCAGGGCAAAGTACCAGTGCTGAGAAGTAGTCAAGGGTCAAATCCTTTCCTCGTGGACTTCAGGAGCATCACAGAAGGAGATTATACTAATGCTTACAGCATGGAAAACGGCTGCATTAACATTTCACAAACAATTTGGTCTCTCTACTATCATGCATCTGGCAATTTTTTACAGGAGTTCCCTTCTCAAGGCTGGACTGAGAATGATGCCAGGCTGAGACACTTCAATCTCCTGCATAAAAGACAATTTATTTCTTGTCTCACTTACAAAATAATGGTAGGATGTTCACTTGGGTCACAAATAGTTGAAAAAGCTGAAAAAACAGTAACATCGTATTTTTAAAGCCTGTACAAGAAAAACACTGCTGGTCTTTCACATTGAACTCTGGCAAAGACACAGGAAGGCTCAGTCTTAGTTTCTGGTTCAAAGTACTAATTTAAGGCTTTAGGACCTTGGACAAAAAAATTACACTGATAAATTCATATGAATTTATGCCGTGCAATCGCACTTCCACTGTGTTATTCCCCTTTTTTTTTCAATGGCAAACAGAGATAGTTATTAAATATTAAACTCCAGCAGCAGATTGCTGCCATCAGTACAGCAATATCTGTTCTCTGCATATACACATTTTCACATGCTTAAGAGCACACAAAGAGCACATGGTATTGCTGTGCCTCTCTTCAGATACGCACCTCTATCGCAAGTCTCCTCAAAACATGGTTCAGCTCTTGGAGATGCGAGACACTTTGGATGAGCTCGGAAAGAAAACGCACACCTTGTGCACAAACTCAGCGACACCATAGTCTACACCCACACCCTTTTCCTCAGCCTCTCTGAAAAACTCTCATTTCTCATATTCATAGCATTTTAAGCTGACTGTAACTGTAAAATTCTGACAAATGAGGTTTCTTCCATCTTCCTTTCCCTCCCTCCCGGTATCATACCTCTTCCCTGTCACAGCAATTACTGTTCTGTTATGCGTGGGTGTTTGGGAGAAAAACATATCATCTTAATAGATTGCTTTTTCAGCCCGTCCTACAGTCTATGACTTTCTGACTATCAGCACTACCACACATAATGGGTTAAAGCAACACTTTCCTGCCATTATGCGGTTTTCACAGTGTGGTGTTTTCAGAGTGTCCTCCAGCTGCCAGTGCTCAGCTTTCAATTGCTTTTTTGGCACTTAACAAACAGCTCACACAGTCAGGCGGTTTGGGCTGTATTTTTGTGTCTGTCTCAGCTTCGCTGTGGCACTTTTTGCAGGACTGGAGCAAACACTGTTTTGTTCTTGCAGTCAAGCTCTTGTGCTGGCTGGGCTCGGTGGCTACCATCAGCGCATCAGGCCTGCTGAAAGGCAAGGGGGGCTTCCTTTCCCTGTGGGGCTCTCGCTGCTCACACACTGGGTTGCCAAATCAGAGCTCACACGATGGAGAAGAAACCACACTGTGGCTCACGCAGTCCTGTCTCTCTGATTTCCTGGTAGTCCAGCTGCAAAGGGCTCCGAGTGCCGGGGCTCCCCGCATTTCCTCGGGAAGACAGCTCCAGGACCCAATGCCTCTGTCCCGGACTCTGATCCTTTCAGAGGCTGGTGTCAACAGTGTCTGCTTTGGCCTGCAAGGCGGCCTCAGAGATGGTGTCCGGCTGTCCATCCCGACAGAAGAGGACGGCAGGGTTCTTGCAGGCCCACATGGCCACTTCTCCCCCGCTCGCCGGGCTGGAGGAGGACACGGTGCTGCCCAGGGGGCCACCCTGACGGTTGACATAGCGCTCCTGCATGCGGTCAGCCTGGTTCCGGGGCTCCGGCCGGCGGCCCGGGGCCGAGAGGGAAGCGGCCACGTTGTTCCTAGTCCT